TGTAAGAAAATAAAACTAGGAGGCAAATTGAGATCTGTGAGTGTGTTGTAGGAAAGAACACCCCCCCCCAGCTGCTCAGAAGGTGGCCTGTCCCACCTGGCCATCAAATGAGGATTACCTATCCCCCCCTTCTCATGTACCTGTCCGCCGAGGGTCCTTGTAGTCTGGCAGAGGTTCCACATAAGGCTTCAATTCATCGTCCTCATGTCCCACATTCATCCAGCGGTCTTTCATGATTTGCTACGGGGAAGGAAAGGTAGAAATGTAGAGCCACGTAGGGTATGGATATCACATGGCTCAGAAGGTCTTTAAAACAAAAACAAAAAACTTGCATTTTGTTTGAAGGGTGTTTTCTTTTTTTAAAAGAAAAAAGGAAGGATTGGTATTCTTTCAAAAGGCGGAGGCTTTTTTCTTTTAAACGTGGAAATGCTACTGCTGGGGGTGGGGGGTGGGGGAAGCTTCCTTAATACGGAACCAGGACAATGGCTGAGCTATTTATCGAATAAAACTCTGTACTACATCATCACCACCACCACCACCACCACAGGACATTGAAGAGGATGAGCAAACAGCAGAGGAAAAGAAACAGTAAAGCAATTAGATAATACAGTCTCATCCCACGTTAAAAGGCCTTTGCATGTCACAGAAAAGGCATCTGTATCGACGATCAGCAGGGAACCTCCACCAAGGCAGCCCAGCGTCCCTCATTACGGACAGCGGGAGCACCAGGAGAAAGATCTGCGAAGGCGATCTTCATGGGACACTAGCTGATAAGGGGCAGGTCTTCTCTCATGGGCCTGCTGACCCCACCACCTCCTTTTTAATGGAGGAGAACACGGACTGGACCTCAGGCCTTTGGGATGCAAAACTCATGTTCCGTTTCTGATCCTGCACACGAGCAAACGTGATCGGTTCGCTGGCTCTCAGTCTGATCTCCTCAGATAGGGCTTAAGGAGGGGGGGAGGAAGGAAGCATACGATCCCTTTGTCATCACTGTCTAAACTACAACACGTTCCCCACCCCACCTCTCTTTTCCCCCCCTTAAGTCATGAATGCATCTGGGCACAACACCTTGGAGTGCTTGACACGGAGGGGAGTAGGGAACAGAGTCTGTCCCACTGTTGACCTCTTAGTACATGTGGTGGGGGGAGAAAGAAGCCCAGCATGCTTGACCAGAAACCCAACCCTAGTAACAATAGGCAGACATGCCAACGGTTCCCAAAGGATATCTCTGCCTCGCCTTGCCTCCTTCTCATCCTTCACACAGCACCCTCCCTCCACTTTTACAGGAAAACTGGGGACGTATTTGCTAATGACCCCCACCTGCCCCCTGGGAAAGCTTGCTGGCTGCTCCTTTTTCGTTCCCACTTTCAAATCCACATCAGGGCTACTGCCCTGAAGTGGCAGAACGATTCCTAGTGGGCAGAAAGCAGTGGATGTAAAACAACTTCCCTGTTGGAGAGCTTAAGAAAAAGCTGAAGGGGCCTGGTAAATTACCTCTTTCATGCAGAGAAGTAATTTGGGCACTTCAAGCCAGACAGACAAAGGGGGTGGTAGACGACAAGAAAATGAATGGGGCCTTATTTGGACCAGCAAGGAGGTGGTTTAAAAATAAATAATAAACCCAATAATAACAGTTGCAGATGCACAGCAGGAAAAGGTAAGGCTTTCGCAGGGGAAAATGCTCAGAAACGGGAGGTGCTCCCCAAAAGACACCGTGGCTGTTTAGCGCATTATGCTAAACCATGGTTTAAGCGAGTTGGTTGAATAAACCACAACTGGCTAAGTTTGCACCAAGTAAACAATAAGCCATCGTTTATCAACGATGTGGCTGGAACCCTGGGTATTTCCAATCATTTTGTGTTTTTAGAATTATGCTCTTGAGAGTGCCTTAAAACGTATAGAAAAATGCAGCATAGATCGAAATATATTGGCAAAAGATTGGATCACAGCAAGAATATAAGCGAACAAGTCTGGGTTTCTCTGGCTTGCTTTGAAGTTGTATGCTGAATCCACCCCCAAATTTGCTGTCTGTTAAAGTGTGAAAAGGGCTTTTCTGCCTGAAATCAGCAACTATTTACAGCATTGATTGATCACCACTGTAACAAAGGGAGAAACCAGTGCCCATTTTTCAATAGTTAATTATGAAATTAAATTTTGCAGGATTGTGATCGATTGTTATTAACAACACATTGTGCAAAGATCAATACACCCAGATGAAATGTGCACGAAGTCCAGTGATTGAAGAGCTCTTGGCTTCTGTTCCAGGACTCTGCCATTACCAGCCTTTTAAAAAATGAAACTGCACACACACGTGCCCACACACCCATTTATGAGCCCATGTTGAAACCAGGAGGTACCTGAACTTGGCTATAACGGTTGTTCTGGCTGGGGGTGAGAGCTGACGTTAAATTAAAAAGGGCTTTTGTTTTGAGCTACAGACCCCAATTCCTGCCAGGGTGGCAAGCAAAGAGATTTTATTGCTGCCCTTGCTACTCGATGGTGCAAATGCAAATAGCATGCCATCTATCGAAGGGCCCATTAGACTACGGGAATACCAACCAGCAGAGTCTGCCCAGTCAACCAAGGGAGAGGGTATCAGCCCTTCGAGGTAGACCAGATCAGGAAACCCATCAGAATTCTACCTCATTGAGATAGGCTGTAATAACAGAATCTTGCAAGTCTCACTGAGCTGCTCCTGCCCTCCCTCTTAGGGAGTCAGGAAGGAGCCACCCTGTGTCTCTTCTTACTACTACAGGTAGTCCTCACTTAACGACCACAATAGGGACTGGAAAATTCATTGTTAAGCGGGGTGGTTGTTAAGCAAGTTGCACCCTATTTTACGACCTTTCTTGCAGTGGTCATTAAGTGAACCACCATGGCCATTAAGCAAATCATATGGTCATTAAGTGAATCACGCAGTTCCCCATTGATTCTGCTTGCTGGAAGCCAGCTGGGAAGGTTGCAAATGGCAATCATGTGACCCTGGGATGCTGCAACTGTTCTAAGTGCAAGCTGGTTGCCAAGTGCCCGGATTGCAATCATATGACTGCGGGGGTGCTGCGACAGTTCTAAGTGTGAGGACTGGTTGTAAGTCCCTTTGTTCAGCACCGTTGTAACTTTGAATAGTCACTAAACGAATAGTTGTTAAGTGAGGACTATGTGTACCTCTCTTCCCAGGACTTAAGGAATACTTCTGTCCTCTTTGTTTATGTAAGAATTTCTGAATATTTGCTTCAAGGCCATCTCCCTGGCTCTCTACAGAGGGAGATGCTGCTCAGTAATGGACAGCAAAGCTTTTACAGAGGAGGAGACAATGAATTTTGCACGGAGGAGCCCATCCAAGGCCATGGCAAAAGGCTGTGCTTTGCACTGGTGAGAGTTCAGGATTAACTCTGTGCCCCTCCAAAAGCAGCTTTGGAAAAATTCAGCGCAGCAGCCCCGAGGACAGCAGGCAGACAAGGAACAGTGAACCCTTGGACACCCACCACCATTTGGACATTTGCTGATGAATTTTGGCTATGCCGTGCCACATGGGTGCCAAAAGGGGCTTGAAGTTGGTACTTATCCTGGGGCTGCTTACTTCTGGGGTAGTAAATACCAGCAGGGTTCACACACATACTTAACTGGGTTACTGAATTACCCCATTGTCTGGGTTCACACGATACACTGAATCATGATTAACCAAACAGGCTGGCTTCACACAACACACTCTAAGTCACAGAAAGACTAGCCAAGATTAACATCACCCAGGCTTAGCATGATATGTGGACGCAGCCACTAAGTCTTTCACTGACCTGGTCAAGTGTGTTGTGTGAACTCCACCTACTGGCCACGTTTGTACAATACAGCCAACCTAGTCAGTTGCTTCCCCAAGTAAACCCTTATCCCTATGCATCAACAATGAATGATTATCAACATCTTAGCTGAACAGGAAGGTGCTCTTTTTCACATCTTTAGAGCTGGTGGAGAAGAGGCTAAGAAATTGTCAGTTCCTGCCTTCTCCCGCAATCTTCGGAGAAAAGATTGAAAAGAAAATGGAGTGGCCCAGTTGGGTTTGCCATGATGATTGGCAGAGCTAAGGAGGTGACCTTCCTCTATTCTCTTTCACCCCTATGCAGCTGTGGGTGCTGGTATGCTGAACGAACAAACTCCCAGTTTTTGTAACTCTCAGACACTTGGACTCTGTTCCAGCAGATGGGTGGGAATTAAACCAGACAGAACTGACTGGGGACAATTTAGCCCTTTCTGATCTCCTGGTGACAGGTTTATGGGGTTCACACAACAGAGCAACCCTTCCCCTACCAATCCAGGTAAACATGTCGTGCCTCTTGAGGTAAGATGAACCAACATCCCGACTTTGCCTAAAGTCAGCACATATCTGCAGAAGATCCCCAAAGATGACTGTATCGGCCGCCTCTTTAGTGGGGGTGTTTCACGAGGAATTCCAAAGGGGGTACCTGACTCTGCTTTCATTTCCTCCCACCAACTGGAAGTCCAGCTTTCATCCGCTCACCTCTAAAGTGCCTCTCTTGCTAGGGTTCAGGATAAGGAATTTTTTCAGCAGGTTCTCGCAGTCCGTGGACATATAGAAGGGGATGCGATACTTCCCCCTCAAGACCCGTTCTCGCAGCTCCTGCAAAAGGAGAGGACGTGGTGGCGGGGGAAATAAACAATTATTTTAAGCCCTGATAAAATAGGATCCATGCACATGCACACACAAGGGAGCTGGAAGTGTTCTGCATGGGAGAAGAGAGGTGGATTCTTCCAGATGCCTTTAAATCAAAACTGGGTCACCCAGCTGTGCATGAGTTAAGCTCGTCTTCTGGGCCCCTTCTTACCTTGAGGTTCTGCCCATCAAAAGGCAGGGAGCCGCTGACCAGTGTGTAGAGAATGACCCCAAGGCTCCAGACGTCCACCTCGGGTCCGTCGTACTTCTTGCCCTGGAACAATTCAGGCGCTGCGTACGGGGGGCTCCCGCAGAACGTGTCAAGCTTGTTGCCAAACGTGAACTCGTTGCTGAAACCAAAGTCTGCAATCTTGATGTTCATGTCGGCATCTAACAGCAGATTCTCTGCCTGGGGGGCAAGAGAAAAGGGGTGGGGAGGAGATTCAAAAGGGGGTAACCCACAGGGAGCCCGTGACTTTGGGCTGGAAATGATCACAGGTTAAATCAAAGATGGGAACCTTTGAGGAATCAGGAACCACAACCCTTTTGGGGAGACTGGGGGACACAGCTGATTGGGGGATGAAGCAAAGAGGGTGAGACTGCTCTGCCCAAGGGCAGAGCTAGAGTGATCTGCGATTTTCCCTGGGGTTCACGAGTGTTCACTAAGTGTCTTTAAGAACTCATGGAAATTTGTTTTTACCATATTATTATTATTTTTGGTCATACAGTTTTTGTGGGATTCCCACCTCCAAAATTCATTATTAACATTTATATACTTTTCTTTATGCCTTGTTTGATTGCATGCTGCCCACAGTCTGCAGACTGGGGCAAGTTGCAAAAACTATAAATGAACAAGCAAACAGCAGATAAATAAAACAGCAGGGAACAGTCCCAGTAATCTTCGGCTTCTGCCTGCCTAACTTAAACCAGCATGCCAGCTCTCCTGAGTCTTTGCTTGGAAAGTCTTTGCTTGGAAAGCCCTTGATATTCAATATTAATGTTCACAATAAACCAGGAGGGGGGCATTTGATATACTCTGGGGGGAAACAAGTGAGGAGTGAGGGCAAAAGCAACATGCTCGAGCTGTCCTTTCATCCTCAGTCCAGATGCTAGCTGGCTGAGGATGAAAGGCCCTTCAAGAGCATTTGGTTGGGGAAGGAAGGATAGCCTAAGGCTGCCTTTCAATCCAAGAGCCCTGAGACGCGTTTTTCTGGTGTGTGGTGGGGGGTATGTTGGGGGGGGGGGGGGG